GCGGCAGGAGGTGCCGCAGGTGCCGCGGCAGGAGGTGCGGCAGGTGCCGCGGCAGGAGGTGCGGCAGGTGCCGCGGCAGGAGGTGCGGCAGGTGCCGCGGCAGGAGGTGCGGCAGGTGCCGCGGCAGGAGGTGCGGCAGGTGCCGCGGCAGGAGGTGCGGCAGGTGCCGCGGCAGGAGGTGCGGCAGGTGCCGGCAGGAGGTGCGGCAGGTGCCGCGGCAGGAGGTGCGGCAGGTGCCGCGGCAGGAGGTGCGGCAGGTGCCGCGGCAGGAGGTGCGGCAGGTGCCGCGGCAGGAGGTGCGGCAGGTGCCGCGGCAGGAGGTGCGGCAGGTGCCGCGGCAGGAGGTGCGGCAGGTGCCGCGGCAGGAGGTGCGGCAGGTGCCGCGGCAGGAGGTGCGGCAGGTGCCGCGGCAGGAGGTGCGGCAGGTGCCGCGGCAGGAGGTGCGGCAGGTGCCGCGGCAGGAGGTGCGGCAGGTGCCGCGGCAGGAGGTGCGGCAGGTGCCGCGGCAGGAGGTGCGGCAGGTGCCGCGGCAGGAGGTGCGGCAGGTGCCGCGGCAGGAGGTGCGGCAGGTGCCGCGGCAGGAGGTGCGGCAGGTCACAGGTAACTTTTTTTTTCTGGGAAATATCCCGCGTGTAAGCCAGGGTTTTCAGGTAAATTTTGTGTCACAGATTTTAGAAGTATGGAATTCTTATGAGAAAAATAATTTCCGAGACTTAGAAGTTTGTTAAGGCCTTATGGGAGAAATTCAAATATCGTGTGTAGCGCTTTAGGGTTTCCAGGAGAACTCTACGGACATATTTTACATGTTTTCAACTTACAAAAATCGTCTATGTAAGCCTTAGTTTTCAGGTAAATTTAGAAAATCACCTTTGTAAGTCAGGGTTTTCAGGTCTCGTACCTCACACCCCCTCCCTCCCCCCTTACCTCGCAATCTCTCGCGTCACCTTTATTTACCTTACGCCCGGCCAGCCAGACGCTTCTTGTAGGTCGCCTCCTATCATATCTTATCTTATCTTCTCCATAATATCTGGACCGTCCCTCCTCTCTCTCTCTCCTCTTCATATTATTCTCTCTTCCTATTTTTTCTGACATAATAATGTTTTATTCCTTTTTCATTAACCAGTCAGTTTTATACAAATCAACCGAAGCATCTCAATGTAACCTTTAATACTGAAACTGTCTCAGAGACTGACTAAGCTGGCCCTAGCTACCTGCCCCAGGCTATCTGCCCGAGGCAAACATCACCTGATTACCTGCCCTGTCATCTACCAGTCATTGTCAGCGTTCGCCACCGTAATAATTTATATATATACATTAGGCGTTAATAAAACTTATTTATTTATTTATAATTTATTTAGTCATCTAATTCTTAGTTTACACAATTTATAATAAACTATTCAGTTAGCCCGAAGTTCTAAGAAGCTCACTCCTCAATCCGCTTGTATAATATCCGTCCTATTCACTCTTCATCTCTGTAAATAAAGAATAACAGTTTCAGATAGCATTTACACATGTACAATATTTATCAGACACATAAAACCTCTAAACAAATGTACTCACCATTTTCCGTTAGATAATTTGTTATAGCCTCATTCAGCCAGTCGTCTCCAAGCACATTTTCCAACAAATATCGCTCTTATCATAACACAGCGTTTCATAGCAGCTCGGCATATTTTTAAATAAAGCATAAGATAGCCTCATTACGTTCCTATCATTCTGCATATATTCTCCGTAAGTAAAACTAGTTTCAAACAGCTTTATTGCAGTTTTTAGATCCTTGTTTGAAAGATGGTAACAGAAAAACATCGCATATAGCCCGCATACGTAAGTATTTAAACTCTGAAGTCTCTCTGTAAACGTGTATACATCAGTCTTTAATAATTTAAAAACTCCGAAATGTATGGCGAATACACATTTATTCCATATGAATCGAGTATAACTATTTTCCGTTTAGATTTATATACAGCAATCCAGTGACCCATTACTTCCTTAGTCTCTTCCTAAGGTATTTATTATAAACATAATCGGTTTATCCCGTATTTGCTTCATTATTCTATATATATCCGTCGCTAAATAGCATCCAATATATTTAGCTTTACTACCTTTCATATCGTTCAATGCCGTATTAATTTGTTTGCAGTTCATGCTCTTGTATCACACACAACTCGCCTATCAGAATAAATTCTCAATACTCCCGTTGTAATTCCGAATAAAATAACTATTTGATTTCGCTGGAACAGCAAATTCTAATGTAATTCTCAGGTTGCCCGAAGCCTCTATAGGAAGGGTATCTCTCAATTCCTCAGGCGTTAGTCTAAATGCCAGTAACGTTCTTCCTTTTATAAATGAATTATATGTCAAGGTATTGCAAGCATTAAAGCCTACTGTATTTTGAGTCTCGTAGTATAGTTTCGAGCATTTATTCGGGAACTTGCAAGTTATATTAAATAAGTTTGTCCCATCACGTGTAATATATACATTAGATAAATCGCAGTGATCGAAATAAAGTGGATTAAGTGTATACGCTCCTGATATTGCTTCCATATCCATCATCATAATAAATAATTTATCTGGGATAATGCTCCCCCATGGCTGGTCAATACTTAATCTCTGCTGCCCATTACCGAGAATGAACGTCTTGTGGAGTGTCTTATCAAACGTATATGTAACTGGCGTATTTTGTTCAGCCAGAGCTCTATTAATAGCCTCCAATCCAGATGCAAATGGAGTTATCCGATCAATCCACATTCTAGCTAGTTTTATGTTAAACTTATATCCAGATTCAATACTGTTTATAACCCACGGATCACTGTTAAGTTCTAATCTCAAACGAATATCAATTCCATCCAAAAGATATTCGCTCAAAGTTGTAATGTCCAATAGCAGTTTAAAGCAACAATTTACTCCCTCAGTTTTTAACTTTACAAATCTAGATTTAAGGTCTTCTGAGGCATTCTTAAAATAATCTACATCATATTTTTCAGGAAAAACATCATTATAGAAATACGTCAGTTCTTTAAATCTTTCAGCTTTACATTCAGAAAGCGTCGTCATTAGCTTTACATATGATAAATATGAAAATAGTGAATTAGTTTCCACCACTTGCTCATTTAAATAAACAGTTACAGCTTTAAACATTGTCTGGGACAAACCATTGACTAATGATGCATTTTTAATATCCGCTAAAGCCGTAATTCCGTCAGGTCCCGTTAATTCAACCATCAGTTCTAGCGTCAAGCTCGAAAGATCAATAAATTGCCCCTTAACTCCCGGGATACGAAATTCAATATAAGAGTCTTTAAATTTATTGTTAATACTTGAATTCACAGGTAAAATATCCTGTGTCTGTCTTGAAAATATCGTACTTTCAACCATTCTATGCGGATTAACTTTAGGAAAGCCATCGCTTATAGCAGCTGTATAATTTTCTAAAGGAACTTGCAATGCTGCACTAGGAGCATTTACACTCATCATGTCTGTGTCTAGCATACAACTAGTACTGTTTTTATGAAAACACATCTTTATATCTATCCATTTTCTTTATAAAGGCAGGTCTTTTCGTTTTTCTTTTCGTTATTCGGCCACCTGTTAACAATTTAGGACCTATACTTTTCAATGTTTCCATACCGCGTTTTCTAATTGAATCTTTCAAAGTACCTTGACCAGCATTTATATCCTGCAGAACATTGTCCCATTGTCAATGCTGCTGGCATGATAGTTTTTAATAGGAAAGGAGTTGCTCTACGAGCTAGACCAGTTAAGAAACTTAATATTCCACCTCCTCTTAAATGTCTTCTATCAAAAACAGTAATATCGCCCAGTGCTCCACCTCTCTTCCCTCGAGGAGCGATAAATCGCCCTACCTCGTCAACAGACAGCGGTACAAACCCGACCCTCATGTTTAAACAGGCCAAGAGAGAATGATAAACTCCCTCTACTCATGCCATTATATATCAACGGGTCTAATATGTAATATTGCAATCGTACATCCATCCTTTTCAAAATATACAGGCTCCCCATCTTGATCTGTTAATCAAATACTGATGCCATCAATATTAGTCGTATTTAAAGGTTTATATAATTTCCTGTGTGTTACATTACTTTGAAACGAAACAACATCCAAGATATTTACAATCTGATTACCAAACATGGTGGGCTGCACCTTATCACAATATACACACAAGAAATCTATACGGCCTCCCGGCCTAGGATGATAATAGCATGTATCTTGTACAGATAACCTGTTATTAGGTAGCTTATTCATAATAAAAATATCATAGGCTTTACCCACTTCAGCTCCAATAACTTTACATATATTTCTACCGAAAGATAAAGAAATTCGAACAACTAATTTTCCATCCTTTGTAATACATAATTTTAACAACTTCTCACTAAATGCTGCATTAAACTTAATTCGATTAATACTCGAATCATATTTCATATAAACGTCCCCGTGATCTGGGAAATTATAATTAAGTACGGGTCCTATTAAACTCGGTGAACCTTTTGAAAATATAGTAGAAATTTCTCCATTTAAAATAGTCGTTAGCTCTATGCAATTATCACTGGCTAAAATATCCGACTTTAAAGTGAAAGATGTATTCACCGTACTCAAATCAGATAAATTTTTATTAGACACTAGAAGTTGAACTGAAATAAAACTTTCCGGGTCATTCCTCCTAACAGCGAAATAAGATGGAGGCAGGAATATATTCTTCAGGCACACCTCATAAGCTTTATTCGGGTCTAAAGGCAGCTGATTATGTAATCTATTTTCAAAAGCATTGGGAGCATTATTTTTAAATACATCAGTATCAGAGTTACTCGCTGCATATATAACGTAACTATCCATCCTGTAGACTAATAGTAAATGATAAAAATAAACAGAAACTCGCCTTAATATGATATCCAGGTAGACTCTCCTTCATCTCCAGCCTTGATATTCCTCTTCAAACTTGGAGGAGAAAACACTTGATTTTTCGCATCTACATTTCTAAATAAATTCTTAGGTGTAGAGGTCAAAGAGAAAAACAACTTTGCTATTGGCAGTTTATCTTCTGGGAATAACAATTTCGGAGTGCACATCCTGCCTAAAACGTCAACAATATTGATCCCAGTAACTGGTGATGTAATGTTCCCTTCCTCATCCCACTTTACAAGTCCAGTTGTATTAAAATAATTTAACAAGGAGACAGCAAAATCATAATCCTTAAGCTTTAATCTTAAGTCTATCAAGTGTTGTATAACAGGATTTGTTCTCACTGTCATCGTAGGCTTCTCAACACTTACTGCCGTAGGCTTCTGTTGATCAATAGCTTTTCGTGGTACAAGATAGAATTCTTTCATTATTGCTTATTAAATAGCCTTGAAATGAAATTTATAGCTATGGGAAGTAAAATGCCCAATAAATTACCTCCTCTTTTACTTGTTAATGTCTTTGAGTGAAATAGCCTTCTTCTTACAGGCTAATGTATGGAGTAGAGCTCTATATTTAGAAAGTCTCTTTAAAATAGGCTTCCCAACTTCAATTTTATTTTTTAAGAAATTAATAAATATTTCAGATAAGCAAAGTATATGTTCCTTTTTAAGTCTTAATTAAC